CCCTCTACACAGATGAACCCCCCTCTACACAGAGGTCCCCCTCTCTGAAGGTAGCCGGAAAGATTTCATTGACATATCAGAACCAAGGAGTCCTCAATCCATACGTAGCCAGAGGCAGACTTGTAAGGGCACAGAGAGAAGGAGACTTCAATACATGGGGTGGCACTTTATGGGGACACAAATAGATCAGGTGGTGCTCCATATAGGACATATATAGAAGAGGCAACACCAAAACAGGCCACAAGGGTGAAGAGCACACATTATCGGGGCACGTGATTTTGCCACACCCCTTTAAGCCTTACCCAGTTAGCTCCACCCACTTTTGTACACTCACTTCCTTCTTTCATCCCAATTTCTAAAGGGATATGACCAAAATGTGTGCTGCAGATTTAATCATAGAGCAGGAGGTACAGCTGACCTGGGGGCAGCCACTGGCCCCATCATGTGGGTAATGATATCGGCACACTCACCAGGTACATGGCGGCACCCAAGAGAACAGCTTTTAACGTCACCTCCAGATCCAGCGGGAACGAGATGTTACTATAACCGCTCGCCATACGAATTACGCCAACAACGTGCTGCTCATCCAGAGACTTAATCTGACAAGGAGACAGAAAGGTCACCCAAAATGGGGCGGAACTGGGTGATACCACACACCCACCTCCTCAACACTGTGCAAGAGCTCCTGTGTTACCTCGAAGGTGGCGTTTCCAAAAATGCTGGTCTGTAAGCTCGGCCCCAGGATGAGCAGAACCGCCTGTTGGTTGGCATTCATGACGGACAGGTGGGTCACCAAGTTGTTCCAATGGAGTTTCACTGATCCAATTGGACTCGCAGGGGGACACTGAACCTCCACCTGTAATAAGAGAGAGACACACACACACATATCACCTACTTCCCACATCTCACATTTACATACACTGCATGGTCAAAGGTTCATGGACACCACATCATAACACCTACATAAGTACAAAACCATAGCCATTAACTTGGATTGGTCCCGCCCCTTCCCCCTGGCTATAATATCCTCCACTATTCTTTAAAGCAGGGGCCTCAGACCTCCGGCCCTCCAGCTGTGGTGTAACTACAAATCCCATGAGGCATTGCAAGATTCTCACAGCCACAAGACTTTGGAGGGCGTCTGCGGGAATTAGTGTCCATTCGCAAGCTCAGATACTGATGTTGGATGAGAAGACCCGGGCTCACAATTGGTGTCCCAATTCATCCCAGAGGTGATCAGTAGGGTTGAGGTCGGGGCTCTGTGAAGGATGCTCAGGTTCCTCCACCAACCTGGTCACACCGTGTCTCTATGGAGCTTTGTACACGGGGGACAGTCATGGGGCGAGCAGAAAAGGGTCTTCACCAAACTGTGACCACAAGGCTGGAGGAGCCCAATTGTCTACAATGTCTTTGTATGATGGAGGATCACCAGAGTCCCGGATGGGAGTCTACATTCTTTCCACCATTTAGTGTATTAGACATACTGTCAGGAACCGGATCTGAACCCGGGACCTCTTCTGTAGCTGGCGGTGGTTCTACCTGCTGAGCCACCTTAGAACCTTGGATAGCTCCTTGCCTGATCTCCTGTGTAATCCTCAGGTAAACCCAGTTTCTGCAGAACTCTGAACTCCTTGCTCCTCCCTTTAACCTATTTTAGCCACGCCTCTGCACTTCCTGTTTGCCAGATTATTGTGCTCCTGCCAATATCTTGCTTCCTGCTCCCTCTGTGCTACAATCTACTCATACGGCTACCCGTGTGCCGACCTTTGTCTGCTGATTCACCGACTACTCTCACCATCTCCTCCTACATACCTGATACCTCTGGCTGCTGACCTCGGCTTGTTCTCTGACTACGCTTCTGCCTGCTCCTATACCACTACCCGCTGCTTGTGTACCGAACCCGGCCTGTTGTACCACCAATTAGCCTGCTGCTTCAGCTACTGGACTCCGAGCCTGATCCCGGATCGTGACACATACAGGAAGGACTTCTTGCGTCCTCTGCTTAGTTCTTGGAAGCAGAGGACTAGAAATTAGAGTATGTGGATTGTGGCCAGGTGTGTGTGCACTTAAAATAAGCCATCAATGTCAGACCACGCCTACTTATCCAGGTCCCCACCCCCGCAGGGCAGAGTCTACCACTGTGCTGCATGAAGTTGGGCCCTCGCTGCTTCTGGTGGGCCCCAGGTATCCCATCAAACAATGACCCCACCTCCACCTGTGACACCAGGACCAATCACATCACACCTCCTTCGCACAGTCAAACACTTTGTGAGGGATTTATACCCTGGTACCGTGTACAGGTAATCGGAAGTCCCGGGGGCCCCCACAGAACCCCCCAAAAAAATGCTAATTACCTGGCTGTCTCTGTCTCCAATACTCTCAGAATCATTGAGCAAGCATGCCGGAATTAATTCCTGATCCACCTACTTATGTCAGGTCACTGAGAATACCGAAGCCAGGAAATCAGCATTACAGCCTCGGCATTTTCAGGTCAGAATTGTCGGGTGTGAATCGAATGTATTGTGATTTAGCAGATGATTTTCTTTTCATTATTAATTATGGTCATGATAAGGAAATCCAATCTATATACATTGTTATTATGACATATTAGCATCTTGTGTTCTTCTATTGTCCCAGCAGGTGGCGCTGTCATCCACTTTAATGCTAATGAAGATCTACACTGCAGGATGACATTTAGGGGGGTTATTCACCATGGAGCTGAAGGCAGCCGAGCGAATAACCGAGCCGAAGCGACGTTCGGTTATTCACTTCAGCCCTGTACGGCTGATTTCAGCTCTGCGCGTTCAGCTAAGCCAAAGTGCAGAAGGAGTTTGACTCAGCCGATCCAACATCTGGATCGGCCGAGCCGAAGCTCAGGCAGCTCACTAGCTGCCTCATATATTCTCATATATCCTCATAGGGGCTGAACAGCATTGAGTGAATAGCGGCATTCGGCTCGGCTCCGAGCAGAATAGAAAAAACATAAATTAATTGGGGAAAAAAAGATTATTTTAAGAAATTAAAAAAAATAGCAAAATTAAAAGAAAAATTAGGAAAATAATAAAAATGTTTAAAGAAAAGAAAAAATAAATAAAAAAGACACACGCCGACCCAACCGCACGCGACGAACTCCCGCTGCATAATGTCGAATCTGACAGATGGCGGCAAAATATAAACAATTGGGCGGAGATAGCGGTGGCATCACCGCTAGCTCCGCCCAACTGTTTACTATTGGCCGGCACGTGCCAGAGTCTTCCAGCAGGCCCCGGGCAATAAATAGCGACTGGGAGGAGCCGACCGTGACGTCACGGCCGGCTCCGCCCAGTTGTTATCGTTGAATGACAGATCAGCGTCCACCCAGGTCATTTGGGGACGCTGATCTGTCATTACAACTGGGCGGAGCCAGCTGTGAGATAGAAGTGAGCCGTGGGGTCAGCCGAAGCTACGACTGGGTCCTTCGGCTCCTTAGTGAATAACCCCCTTAGTTTGCTCTGCATATAATAAACAATTCACTTTGTTTGTTGATTCAGATCCTATTTTCACTCTTTTGGATGCTGTTCTCCTGCAGTGTCTTTCAGCTACTTCCTGTCTACATGCTCTCCCTCCAGCGTCGGCAGCCCATCATTGCTCTGGACCGGCTTTCTGATTGTGACAACGGTGGACCGTGCCTGTGTAATGTGCGTCAGCTTGGTCCCCGGTAGTCTCCATCAGAGGAGCATATGAAAGATGAATATATACTGTGTATATATATGTATAACCAGGTCTTATATTACAGGAATCTTGAAAAATAGTGCTAGGTCTTACTTTCGGGGTAGGTCTTATTTTCGGGGAAACAGGGTATATCATCATCAGAGCTGAGGGACATCATCACTTTGTAATATGTATTTAAACCCTCAGAACTCCTTTTAATATCCAAACTATCCAGAAAGGCCAGACGGATAATCACCTCGATCGGCCTTTTTCAACCTTTCCACCCTAGAGGAACCCTTGAAATAATCTACAGGCCTCGTGGGGAACTTCTGCTAAAGCCAATTCTTTGGGGGTCAGTGGGAAAAATACCCCTTAGGTTGGTGGCGGTGGGAAGAATGGCGCCCTTACAGACTGGAACTACGGAGGCACCATCAGATGGGAGGTCAATCAGCCGCGGCTCAAGGAAGCCCCCCAGCTCAACCTCTGGAGGAACTCTGGGATCCACGGGAACCCTGGCTGAGAATGGCTGCTCTAGATGAAGACATGGACGGACGGAGGATGGTTCCGTGTCAACTGGCAACTCAGATAATCAGATTTCTGATAAAAATAAAGGGGATTTTCTTACATTTTTCCCGAACGGTTAAGTGGTTAATCTGAAACAAAAGATTCCAATATTAGCTGATGGTCTCTTCCGGTCAAACCATTCATCAACGTTACATGGGTGGGTGAGATGAGGACTGACACATACAGGACAGAGAGAAGGACACGGGACAAGGAGAACATCAACATAAGGGATGTGTTTGAGGATAATGGATTCCAACCAATGCTGACCACATTCCATCACCAGCAACTTCATACTGCTCCTCCCACCTCTATTGCCTGATAGGGACAGGTATTGTACAGCAGACATTGTGGATCTTTAATGGTTCAGTCATTGGACCAGGCATAACATCAGTGCAAAGTTCAGCATTCAAACATTCGCATTGATGGTCATTAGTCAGCACTGCCACCTACTCTTCTGCAGAGCACATCTGCCCTAATCAGGAGGGACAATGTAGACTGCTGGACATTCAGCCTGATCAAAGGTTTATCTGCTCATACCCTGGACAGAGGTCTGTCGGTCTGTCTCTTGTCTTTTTTATGCTTTGGATTACTCCTTGAAATTTTTGGACCACATTTGTATTGTCCGTGCTGAACCTGATTGTTGGTCCGTTACCTCCGCCACTGTCAGTCCTTACTCTGTGTTTACCTGTCACTATCCTGCACCGGTTTGTCTGCGCCTGATTTCACCACCAGCCTGATGACTTTTTGCTGTTTCCTCTGACCATCTTTGCATTGCTCTATTGTCTGTCCTGCTTGTTAGTTGGCTGTAGACCCTGGTAATGCTGCGGGTCCACCAAACTCCATGACAATTTGAATGAGCGTTTATTTCCTATGAGACCTTCACACCGGTTATATTTTTACCGTGCAGTAGCAAAATGCACTATGGTGCCAGATCATTAAAGGAGAACTATGAGGCAGGTGAGTTTCCCTCAGCCTCGTAATCTGAGCCGACCTGTGACAATGAGGCTGTCACAGGCCGGCTCAGTAGATCGGGAACACATACCGTCGCTCGCTCACTTCTCGATCTATCCCTGCAGAGAGCCGTGACTGTCACTCAGCGCTCCCTGCAGGGATTCCCCCCTCCCCTGTCAGATCCTGCAGTGCTGGCGGCACAGGCAGTGGAGGGGGGCGGGTACAGCCAGGGGCGTCCCGAGGCTGGGTGACACCCGGAGCAGTAACCGAGTGTCACCACGTCGAGACGTCACTGCGCATGCGCTTGACGTCATCGCGCACGCGCGGCAGTATTCTGATACCTGCCGGCGGCCATCTTGGTGATGGACGCCGGCAGAGAGAGGAGGGGACAGTCACCCGGCGGGATAAGGTATGCCGCCGGGTCCCCTCCTCTCTCCTGATACTGTCGGGCGTTCGGTCCATGACCGAGCACCTGACTTTTCAGAGGGGGGGTGACACCAAAATGACTGTGAGTCATTTTGGTGTCACCCCTCCAATGGTGTCACAAGGGTGCGGGCCGCACCCCCCTTGTGACGCCACTGGGTACAGCTGGCTCTGCCTCTAGATAGGCAGAGCCAGCTGTCACTCACGCAGCTGGGCGGATACAGACACAATTGTCGGGTACAGCTGCGGTGTCTCAGTATACCGCGAGCTGTAGCTCCCTATATACTGAGCTTAGGGTGACGGGAGGACGCTAGTTTGTGTCCTCCCGTTACCCTAAGGAGAACTATGGGGGAAAGCCCTGACCCCCATAGTTCTCCTTTAATAGCTTGGAAATTTAGAATCCAGCAGTTTTATATGGTTCCTCTGCTCAGACTTCAGCATCATTGCATGGTGGTGACAACAGCCCAACGATAACCCAACTCCATTTGTTCTGTAGGGACTTCTGCAGCACCTTCTAAGCACTTTCTACTTTTCTTCATTTTGATATTTTGTTCTATAATTTAGATCAGGGGCAGGCAACCTTCGCACCGCAGCTATGGTAAAGCTAAAAATCCCAATCATGTCTCTGCCTCTGGTTGCCATGCATGTGGCTGTCAGAATCTCCCAATGCCTCATGGGGCTCGCAGTTCCACCACAGCTGGAGTGCCGAGGTTGCCTACCCCCTGATTTAGACCATCCAAAATGAGATGATCCAGAACAGGGGCGTAACTAGAAATCACAGGGCCCTATAGCAAAATTTTGAATGGGGCCCTGTGATTTCTAGTTACACCCCTTGAAGAGCCCACATAGCTCACCTGAGGGTGACCCTGCAGAGCCCACACCCCTGCCTCCTTCTCTGATGCTGACCCCCGGGCCCCGCCACCTCCTCCCCGCCACGTCCAGCTTCCTCCACCGCCGCTGCTGACTTTCATTGACTCGGCAGCGGCTGTGGAGAAGAACGCAGCGCTGCACAGATCACGGTGATCTGACCAGCGGTGCGTTCGAACCCATAGCGACCCAGGCGGGCCGCACGGCATCAGGGGGGTGTCCTGGCCGGGCCCCATAGCGGCCACCTGGGTCGCTATGGCTATTGTTCCGCCACTGATTCAGAATCATCAATGGAGGGGAGCTGGAGAAGAAACGTTCCCAATGTGGTGTATTTTCTGTCCACATTCTTAGCACCGTTCCTGGGATGTTCGCTGAGCTGCGCTGACCTTCGAATGTTCATCTAAATCAGGGGTAGCCAAACTCCGGCCCTCCAGCTGTGGTGAAACTACAAATCCCATGATGCATCTCTCTCCGGAAGTCATAGGGGGACCACAGCAAAGAAAGTTTAAAACAACTTCAGTTAAAGCTAAGGATGCACCGATATACCGGCCGCTGAAACATATCGGCCGAAAATGGTACTTTTGGCTAAATACCGAAAGTGCCATTTTCCTGCCGATAAAGCGGCGCATCCGTGATTTCTTTCCTCCCCGCTGGGCGCTGCTCTGTGTCCCAGCGTGGAGGAGAAAAAATGACAGCCGGCCGAGCGCTCGGCCGGCTTCTCTCCTCCCACACCGCTCAGCCGCCTATCACAGTCCGGCAGAGCGGTGTGGGGGCAGGGACAGCCCGCGCAGTCACAGGAGGCTGAGCTCTCCTCCGTGCACTGCTTGCTCAGCCTCCTGTGACAGCGTGTCAGAGAGGAGAGCCAATGCAAACACTCAGCGATCAGTGATCGCG